GTAGTTCAGTTGGTTAGAGCATCCTCCCAATAGGCCTGGTTGTGGGTTTGATCCCCTATCAGGGCACATAAAGAAGCATCCAGTGGCCCTAGCTGGTTTGGCTCAGTGTTTAGAGCGTTGGCCCTTGGCCTGAAGGGTCCCAGGTTGGATTCCGGCCAAGGGTACGTACCTCGGTTGTAGGTTTGATCCCTCGCCCGGTCAGGGCGTGTGCAGGAGGCAACCAATGGATGTGTCTCTCACCTCAATGTGTGTCTCTCTCCCCCTTCCACCCTCTCGGAAAAGCGATGGAAAAAATATGCTCGGGTGAAGATTTAAAAAAGAAAAAGCAGCCAGTGAATGTATCAATAAATGCAACAACTAATCAATGTTTCTCCTTCCTTCTCTCTTTCTCTCCTCTCTCCTCTCCCCCTTCCTCTCTCTCTAAAATCAATAAATAAAAAGTTAAAAAGAATTTAAAAAGGAAAACCAGTCCCTGTCATGCTCTTAAGGAGCTTACTGGTTACTGAGATTTTTTAAAGGCTATTTTCATGCTAATATGGCAAAGTAGTTGTGGGAGAACTTGAAAAGGATGCTCAGCCTAACCTGAGCCCCCAGAAGAGGGCCCTCGCTCCTATGAAGCAGAAAGCAAACTCTGCATGGACCAGAGGATACCACAGACAGCAGGGTCACACCTCCTCCTACACGCCCTCATTCTAAATATTTAAGGAAACTCAAATCTGGACTTTTATAATCAGTGCAGAAGGATTACCAGTACAGTGGTACATCGGTTTTCTAATGTAATCCATTCCGGAAGACCAAATTCTAAACATTCGAAAACTGAGGGATCAACAGCCAACAGCTAGGCCTCAGGACCTTGCACTCAGCAGAAACTGTGTGGCATGTTCGGCTTCCGAGGAATGTTCAAAAACCGAAGCATTTATATCTGGGTTTACGATGTTCATAAACCGAAGTGTTCATCAACTGAGACGTTGGAAAACCGAGGTACCACTGTAATTTAAATTAGCATAGAATTCAACACTACTGAATGAACCTTTGAGTTTCTTCTTACCGGGCATGAAAGGAGGCAGTGCTTATTAGTGGTATTCAGATTATCCTAGAGTGGGGGTGGGGAACCTCTTTTCTACCAGTGGTTTAAGTCACCTAAATTCAATTCAGATGAGATATAAGAACGTTGTCATTATGCCTGGAATGAAAGCTTGCCCAGGTACGAGTTATGTTCCTGTAGCATGTAAAATACTGGTAGCCATTTGATTTGTGACATCTTGTTTGAGAGATTCGAATCCAGAAACTCTTTTAACCAAAGAAAGAATTTTCCTTTTGACCTGAATAGTTGGACTAGGTTATTTCTAAGGTTCCTTCTGGCTAAAATATTTTAGTTCTTTCTGATAAGTAAAAGGAGGCAGTGCTTATTAGTGGTAGTTCAGATTATCCTAGAGCAGGGGTGGGGAACCTTTTTTCTGCCAAGGGCCATTTGGATATTTATAACATCATTCAAAGGCCATACAAAATTATCAACTAAAAATTAGCTTTGAAAAAAGCTCCTAGATTTATTGAATTTCGAGTCCCACCTGTGGTTGCCTTGGCAGTGCCAGACCAAATGATTTCACTGGCCATACTATTCCCCACCCCTGTCCTAGAGTCTGAGCTAAGATCCTAACAAGTAAGGTGGGGCCCAGGCGTGTGGCAGCTAGTCTGGATTGATGGAGTGAGTGGGTCAGTGTTGAGGTGAAGAGGCTTAGAAGGCAAACCCAGGATTTCCTTTTCTGTATAACTGAATTAAACTAGGTTTAGGGAATTGGAATGGCAAAGCTTTTGTGTTTTCAGAAGGAAAAAAAGGATAGAAACTGGAATGGGAAAGGCTTCCCTGTGTCTTTGTCATTTTAATATTATTAGGAATTTCAATATATATAGACATACCCTATACCAAATCCCAGTACTAGATTCAAGACATAATATGCGAATAAACCATGATTCTAGTCTTTGAGAAACTCAGTATATTGAACAAATTAACATACACCATGGGAGCTTAAAAGCAAGTATGATCAACTAAAGGATCAGGGAACACTTGAAAGAGGATGTGCTCTTTCGAACTGATTCTTTTTTTTTTTTAATAGGCAATGCCACTTATTTATTTTTTATCCTCACCAAGAATATTTTTTCCATTGCTTTTTAGAGAGAGTGGAAGGGGGGCAGGGGAGAAACGTCCATGTGAGAGAGACACATCGATTGGTTGCCTCCCACACGCACCCCAACCAGGGCTGGGGATCGAGCCTGTAACCTAGGTACATGCCCTTGGCCAGAATTGAACCCAGGACCCTTCAGTCTTCGGGCTGATGCTCTAACCACTGAGCAAACTGGCTAGGGCTAAATTGGCAGTTTTTTGAGAGCTGGAACTTGGTTTTAATTTTTTGTTTGTCTCCCGGATTTATAGTACATATCTGGGTAAATGGATTTCATTAGGGTTAATTCCTACTGAAGCTGTACTAGTATCCTCATGATCTGCATTGTAGAACAAACTGCTTTTAATTTTTAACCATACAAACAATAAAATACCCTTGGATGGGGTCTTAGGTGCAACAGATTGTGCTGTTAGTAAAGTATCTGAGACTTATGTACTACCCAAACTTTTTTTTAACCCTCACCTGAAGATGTTTGGCTTTTTTATTGTTTTTTTGTTTTTTAATTGATTTTTAGGGGAGGAGAGAGAAACATCGATCAGTTGCCTTCCATAAGCGCCCAACCAGAGATTGAACCCACAATCTTTTGGTATATGGGACGACACTCCAACAGACTAAGCCAGCCAGGACATTACCCACACGTTTTACAGAATCTTTGTGGCCTTTGAAATAAGAACAGAGGTATACTTTAAAGGGTGTGGTGTGGGGAGCTAATTGGATTCTCAGTGCCTGGTCAGGAACTGTTGTGAATGATTCACACACATTATGACATTAATTTTTATACACCTGAAAGATGCAGGGTTAATTCCCGAGGCAGCTGTTTGAGTGCAAATCTAACTCCTGCTTTGGCTTCCTCATCTGTAAAATGGGGATAACATCTACTTCACTGGATTGCTGTGAGGATTAAACAATTTAATGTCTGCGAAGACTGCAAATAATGCCTGGGATAGGTAATGTGTGTCAACTCTTTATTACTGTTGCTGCTCCGACCATTCCTGCTATCTCTCTTTATTTTTATTTATTTATTTATTTATTTATTTATTTATTTATTTATTTATTTTTAAAATATATCTTTATTGATTTCAGAGAGAGGAAAGGAGAGGGATAGAGAGATAGAAATATCAATGATGAGAGAGTCATTGATCGGCTGCCTCCTTCACGCCCCCAACTGGGAATCAAGCCCACAACCCAGGCATGTGCCCTGACAGGGACTCGAACCCCAGTCGCCTGGATCCTAGGTCTACGCTCAACCGCTGAGCCACGCCCAGCTGGGCTCTTTTTATTTTATTTATTTATTTTTGTTAATCATCACCCGAGGATATTTTTCCATTGATTTTTTGA